GAGCATGTCAGGAATTAGCATGCCAGTTAACGTACACACTTGCCAGTTTGAGGATAGTAGCTAGTGCTTGCTAGGTACTGGTATGCCATTGTGCTAGTAATAGGCATTTGTATCTCCGGCTTAAAATACGTCCTCTCTCATCTGTCATTTTGCAACGTAGATATAAAGAAAGGCTGATCAGTTTCTTATGCCGATAAAGACAAATAGTGCACCTAGCTCCACACAAAAACAGTAAAACAGTAGTATTGCTTGTAAAATAATTTTGGTAAAATCTGAGAGGCTACAAAGGTACGATAGTAAAATCTGGACTCAACTGGATTCTTATTTGGGATTAGGCACTCAACATGAGTACATATTTAGAAACTCTTTTAGCCAAATTTTTAGATGCCTAAGTGACCTCAGTGGTCCCGCATCAAAAACCCAAAAACTTTTTTTTAAACTTTTGGATCAAAATTGAGCTCAGAAAAATATTTTAATTTTTCAAAGATCTTTTAGGTTACTTGGGTAATTTTTGACAAAGTTCTAAATAATAATTTTTCGTGAATTTTTTGCGTTCTTTTGAATGGCAGGGTTATATTTAGTAGATATACTACCTATATCTGAGCGCAACCCCTAAATCGCAACCCCCGGTTGCAAATGCCAAACGGCTTAACCTAGGATGACGTACGAGGGCTCGTTGGAAAGGGGATGAAAAATGGGGTTGAACGCAGTATGTGCCGTGCGCATCGGAGCATGTCAAAAGGTCATTACGTCATATCTTTGTTTCTATTGGTCCGATCGCGGCGTACGAGGGGTCGCTGGAACGGGGAGGAGGTAACGAATACGTTGTAACTAAAAACAAAGATGGCGGCGTTGCCAAATGGGCGCTAAAACGTATCTTCGTTGCTATTAGTCCGATTGTGACGTACGAGGGCTCGTTGGAACGGGGAGAAGGCCGGAAATATGTTGAGACAAAAAACAAAGATAGCAGCATTGCCAAATGGGCGCTAAAATGTATCTTTGTTGCTATTGGCCTTATTTTGACGTATGAGGTGTCAAATGAAAGCGTTGGTGACACACAGAAGCCATGTCAACCATCGAATATTCTTCTTCTTCTTTTCCGTACAGTGCCTAAGATAACGTCGACGCAGGACGTGACATTCGACACAGAACGTGAAATGTCGAGTGAATAACGTGACATTCCACTCAGGACGTGACAGTTATGTGACATTCGACGCATGACGTGAAATGTCACGTGAAATGACGTGACATTCGACGCAGGACGTGAAAGTTATGTGACATTCAACACAGAAGGTGAAATGTCACGTGACATTCGATGCTGGACGTGACAGTTATGTGACAGTCGACGTATATCGTAAAATGCCACGTGAAATGACGTGACATTCGACGCAGACGTGAAATGTAGGAATTACGTGACGTGTGACGTTTTGACGTGACGTTCGACATTTAAAAGAAAAAGACATCGATGAAAAGGGGAGGGCGTACTGAATACGTTAACACAATAAAGAAATGCAAAACACAATGTCAAAAGAACACTAAGCTTGTAACATCTAAACGGCTTAACGTACAATAACGTGCAAGGAAGTGTTAAAAAGTGGAGGAGGTACCGAATACGACAACATAAAACAAACGCAGAAGACAATGTCAAAACGAGCTTGTAAGGAGCCAAAAGCTTGTAACGTCTCAACGGCTTAACGTACAACAACGTGCATGACATCGACGAAAAGGGGAGAGTGTACCGAATACGATAACACCAAAAACACAAGCTTTCCGTAGCTAGATAATGTGATGCCTAGATATTTAAACTTCATCACTTGTTCTATTATTTGACCTTCCACCTAGAATTTACATCTTAGTAAATTTGCTGTTGTAACCATGCATTTTGTCTTTTTTTGGGGAAATTAAAATAATAAATTTTTTGGCGGTTATATTAAATTGGTGCAGCATACGTTGTAAATCATCTTAACTTTGAGACAGTAGTATTGCGTCGTCTTCATAGCAGATTATTTTAAGTTGTTCTTCTCCCATTTGGTGTCCTTTTTTAGTTATTACTTTTTTTATTATTTTATCCATAATCAGGTTAAACAATAGAGGACTCAGGGAATCTTCCTGTCTTATCTCATTACCAGCTTCAATAGGGTCGATTATTTCTTCTTCTACTTTTACTTTTATTCTGTTGTTTTGGTACATAGCAAAGTCGATACGGAATATGAAACCATTTTGTTTTTTTTTTTGCTTTCGGATGATTTGTTTCCAAGAAATGATGACTCCACCAAATTGGACGAGTTTGGGCAGCCATTTTCAGAGCCACCTGTAAAATGTTTTAATTTCAAATAACTTTTGAACTATAAACAAAATTTATTCTAAAAAAAGCACGGTTCTTCAATTAACTATATCAATTTTTCCTTGGACGTGTTTCGTCAACGAACAAAAATTTCCTCCAAACGTCAATCAACAATTAATGTTTTTCTGTATCTGTTGCAGTTTTGGCTGCACTAAGCCACGAACGGACTGACGGACGAAAATCACAAAACTAAAGGAAAGGAAATAAAACAATTTTATTTCGTTTATAACACTAACTGTAACTTTTGATTTGTTCCGTCGAAGTAATTAGTCAATTAATTACTTGGAGCTTGGTCAGGTTCGGACTATAAAAAATTGGGCGATTGTATAAATTAGAAGAAACGTATTTTGGTAGCTGTCAAATGTTTAGGAGGCTTATTTATTAAAGAAGAATCCCATAACACCTTAAACGGATACTCTTGTCACGAGTATAAGCATTTTGCAGAAAAATACACCCAGTAGAGCGCATGTTTTATTTATTGGTGCAATTAGCAATGGATATACTAAACACAAAGTGATTATTTATAGTTATCAAACAAATTTAAAGTAAAATAAATCCGATCTTATCATTTTTTGGTTACTCTATCACAAATGCCAGATATTTCTACAATTATTTAATTCAGTTTTATTATACCAACGTAAAATAAACATTTTTTAGGTTGAGTTTACCGAAAGTACAAGCTGAATATAGCCGCAAATGTCAAAAATATTTCGGTTTGGCAGTGTTGGCATGTTTTTATAATGCATATGTTGTATGCTTCAAATATAAAGAGATAAAGCTTTTATTTTAAAATAATTATTAAATTAAAAATTAGATTAAAAAGTACATTTTGATTATACTATTTTACGAATTCTGCAATTTTTAATTTATATGAAGCAATAACGGGCAAATATTTGTCTCTTTCGAGATTAATTGCAAACATCTGGCAACTGCTGATTTGACGATTGCCAAATCTATCGTCTAATCCAGTGATACTCAACCTGCGGGCCGCATGCGGCCCTCGGGCGTTTTTTATGCGGCCCGAAGGCTAACTAAGAATTTTTGACTTTATCTACATATCTATTTATAAGATCTTAAAATTTAAAAAATCTGATTATATTAGATATTTTTGTAATTCATTATAAAAATATTAATAAAAGTTCCCTAATCAACACAGTCTAATTTACAATACAAAAAGATCCGCCATTGTGGTGTTCAACCGGGGATTTCCCGAAATTGACGTTGTTATGCTATGTTTGCCTTTCCAATTCATGTCGATTTGGAACCAGTTCAATTATTATATGAACATATCAATTTCATTCAGTGCCTTCGTTTACATACGTATCGTCTTTTTCAAATTTTGTCAAGTGAAGTATGTTTCTTTTACTTATAATAATTTTAATTATAATTGATTTGCCGGGAATTTAAAACAGTGACAATGGCTGGCGTATCCTTAAAATCAAAACGTAAAATATCTGACGAAAACAGACACTCCTGGCTCGCTTTTTTAATCCTGGCTTGAATTTCATTTTCAGCTGGAAATGCAATACATATATAAACTTTTCTGCAATTGCTTTAAATTTTTTAAATTTCCATTTGGTCATTAGCCATATTATCTGTAACTTTTTGTTTTGTCTATAGTTTCTGACAACATTTTTTCACAGCCTGACATTTTTTTTTATTTTACTGATTATGCCGCCCCCCTTGTGACGCCACCTGATGCGACTGCCTCGCCGTATCATAGCACGGCACGGACCTGCATCCCTGTAACTTATTAAAATAAACATTATAGAAGTTTTTAGGGACTTTTGGCCATCGGTAATAATGTAATATTTTATTCTGCGTTTAAATTTTTCCAAAATTCTTACTAGTTTTCCAAGGATCAAGAAAATGAATGCATTTAAAAAGCATTTGACCGAAATTTTGCGCAAGTATTATACATTTTTGAATTCAATAGTTTTGAAAATAATATATATATATATATATATATATATATTTATAATATATATATATATATATATATATATATATATATAAATTTATACTACTTCACCTAGATTGCGGCCCGCAAGCTGTGGCAATAGCTACTATGCGGCCCAGGGAAAAAAAAAGGTTGAGTATCGCTGCTCTAATCTATCAAAGGGTAATTGCTAAAAATTTGTTCTAATAATTAACTGCAATGAATCTCCAAATAAACAAATATTTACTCATTCTTGTTTTATATAAATCAAAAATTGCAGAATTCATAACATAATATAAACAAAATGTACTTTTCTAAAGATTTATCTTTTTATATTTGAAGCATACAGTATCTACATTATAAAAGCATGCTAACACTGCTATATCAAAATTTTTTGTTCCATGTTTGATATTTGCGGCTATAATCCGCTTGTACTTTCGATAAACTCAACCTTTTTTTATATAAATTTCAAATCATTATTAATATTATCAACAATAATTTGTGCTGACTGTAGTAATGAATAAAATATACTTTGTATAAACATCAAATTGACACATAAATATTTATATGATTCTAAAACGGTAAATATCTTCTAAAACTGCAACATCGATGTATAAATCTAAAAATAATTTACAACATTACCAACTACACCTGCTTCTGGCGTTAAAAATATATTTTGCAGGTAATTACTCGGTCTATTCGCACAACTCCAAATATCTACTCTATGTGTAATACTTTCGTCTTATATTTTACGACACCCTTACGCAAGAAATCTTTTGTATTATCGTAAGTTGCGAAACTAATGCCGACAGCTATGGGTCCTTTGATCCAGTTCATCGAAAGACCTTTATACAAACCACCTATCAAGCCTTCAGTCCTAAAAACAAAAAAAAAATAAATTAAACAAAATTTTAAGCAAACGACAGACTAGATATAACGAAAGCCCTCAATTCATGGACGTATAAATAAAAATGGACTGGGCATGCCATGCACTCTGTTCGCCTAAATTTGAAGTCGAAAAGTTTATAGGCGCGGGGAAAGAGGCGAGGTGATAGACTGTGACATTTCCTTTTAAGTCATCGGCGTACCTTCCAATAATTGAAAGGTATTTTTCATTTGAATAAATAATGACTATTGGTTTGATTGCTTTTATTTTTAGTATCGTAAACATATAAAATATTTCGAATAAGTGAGAAACTACGAACGATAAATAATTTTAATTTTCAGTGTATAGAAATAAATATATTTATAAAAATTGATTTATACAAAAGAATAAAGATGGGGTAAATAAAATTGCAAAGTACTTTATATAATATTTTATTTAAACTAAAATAATACACAAGCAATAAAAAGTTTAAAAAATTCTTCCCCATACATTAACCTGTTCAGGGTATTGAGCAGTTCTTCTCTTATCCAGTGAGTGATACGTTGAAAAAATGTAGTGAATTATTGTTTACAACTCCAGATTAATTGTTATTTGGCAACATTAGAAGTCATGTTAAACATAGCAGTAGGCAGAAGAAAGATAAAAGTTCAGGAATATGTATTTTAGAAAATATTAATAAACGTAAGAAAACATAAACTATTGTTTAACAAAAAATGAACAACAAACCACATATATAACAATATATAAACACATTAAACCTTATGGATGGGGTAGGTTTCTAAAATAGAAATATGCTTTATTGTCACTGAAAATTGTACAATTTTATGAACAAAACTTACAAAAAGTAAAAAAAAATAACAATAACAATTAAAATTTACTAAAATTACAAAAATGGTCAATGTCATATAATAAAAGATAATAAAATTTACAATTCATTGCAAAATCTTAATAAATTGCAAATTGCATAATAAAACCTTAGGAGTTTACGAATAAGTTTTAGTTGCTGCATTTGATACCCAAATATATAATACTTTAGTTGCTTGTACCTAAACGTACTGTCATTTCTTAATTTCTCGTTAAGAAACTCTTCCACTGAATAATATGGTCTTTCAGATAGATAGGCTTTTGTTAATTTACAGAACTTAAGGAAAGAAGTTGTAGATTTAAGTTGCAAAGGGAATTAATTGTATAATTTTTTGCCGAATATAATATAGATTTATTTACTAACTCAGTGGACGAAATCGATAAATACATATCAAAGGTTGAATTTCTGGTGGAAAATTCATGATTGGGTCTTGCTGAAAAAACATGTAGGTATTTACCAATTAAGAAAACAGTTTCTAGAATATACAAAGAGGGAAAAGTTAAAATCCCGTGATTTTTTATGTAGCTTCTAAAATGTATTATTTTACTGAGGCCAAAAAGATACCGTGTTGCTCTTTTTTGTAATTTAAAAATAACATTATATTGGGTAGCTGTACTAGAACCGCAAAAAGGAAGACCATATCGAAGATGAGACTCGAACAAAGAAAAATATGTTATTTTGAAGATGCTAAATTCAGCTTCGAAACAGATCGTATTGCATAGCTGGCTGAGATTAGTTTCTTACAACAAATCGATATGAAGGAACCATTTAAGGTTGCTGTCTGTAAAAATACCATGATATTTTAAAGAAACAACGATACTGATCTGGCTGTTATTAAGAAGCAAGGGTTGAAGAGCTCCTTTATAGGATAATGCTACTGTCTTATTTATGTTAAAAGGAAGTAAATTATAGTCGGACCAGGTTTTTATTTTAAGTTGATCAGAAGTTTTATTTGCATGAAAAGCTAAATATAAGAAAAAGTAGAGGACCCAGTACTCAATATTGCGATAATCTACATACATGCTTTTGTGTCTAGAGTCAGTATTATTTGCTCTAACTGCTTGTTTCCTATTTCTCAAGCAAGATTGGAACCAATTCAAAGAAATACCTCGAATTCCGTAGAAAATTTAGTTGTTCATTTCATCAAGAAAGGACATAAGTCGGGCTCTTATAAATCTTTAATCATTTTAGATAGGATGTAATTTTTGTTTTCATTCTTCTTACATATTGTTGTAAATACTTTATTTTACTTTTTTAACTCTTAACAGTATTTTTTAACACTCTAAAATGTTTTTTGATCCTTTCAGGTGTTGAAAAATCGCTGCTAGACATGTCTTCAATGGTTTTATTTCTAAAACATATAATTAGGTTTTCATAGTTATAATACTTGTTTTTATAAATTAAACTAAGAACTCACTTTTTATAAATATTACGTGGAACATATCAAAAGTATTATCACCAAGTAACAACTCTACAGTTTTAGTTTCTGATGCTGTAATGGTGCTCGAAGGTGCATTTTCTAATTCTATACTTGTTTTCTTCATTGTCATTTACACATCTAGAATAATCAATTTATGTACATTAAAGAAAAATATTAAAATTGGTTTAAGATTGAAATAATCTTATACAAAATTATCCAAAACTCACCTCATTTTTAGAAGAATTATATTTTACATTAAGGCCCAAGTCTGTCTCCATATTACATTTTTCAGTATCAATGAAACTCCTAAAATACTGTGAGTAATTTTAATATTAAAATGAAATAAGTAATTAAAATCCACATTTAGATTTATTTGTAAATTTAATTAACAAATTCGATCCAAACTCACCTTTTTGACGGTCCATAAAAATCATCCATATCAATACTACTGGAAGTTGTTTCTTTATTTTCCATATCGTTTGTTGAACTGAAATATTGAATTAATATGCTTAGTTCTGATGATTTATGATAAATATTTATTGGAACAGTTCCTTTCCTCATATTAACTCCACTTGGTTGCATAATTAGATCATGCTTTCTAAAGTGTTCTGAGTAGACTATAGCAGTTTTGGTTACTTGTTCTTTATTTAAGCCGAACATAGACAACCACATATCTAGCAGCTGTTGATTCTTTACTGGGAACCTGCATATGATATTTCTTTGAAATTAATATATTTATAGCTATTATAGTGTAGATTAGAAAAAATAAATAAATGTATTTATAATACGACAAAATTTACTTTATTTCACAAAATTTAATTTCAATTCATGTCAAGAATTAAGTAATATCACATCCCTGTACGACGCTCATGGACGTAATTCCAATGTTTACTTACGAACGAAATGACAGTTCTGGATGAAAATATTAACAAATTCACTAAAATGTCACAAAAAAGGAAAATATCAACTCAAAGGTAAACAGTACAACGCCATATTCCTTTTCCTCAAATCACTACGATTGGTTAATATTACTAATAATGCCAAGTTTTACATAAAGTTAACATTATCAGAATATATTTTCTTTTAATAAATAAAAAATTAATGTTTTTCTTTAAATTCCTTGGTTTCTAAATGAGTATATCTAAAATTAGTTTATACTAACTAAATAATACATTTTTATCTATAAATTAAAATTAAATTATACTAAAAATAGAAAATTATTTCGAAGATTCGCTTGGAAAAAAAATAATATGACAACGTCAATTGTGTCTATGACTGTGACGATCTCATGGCTTCAAATACAGATGTAAATAGCCCGGTCCTTCTTTATTTATACGTCCATGCCTCAATTAGTCGAGAAATTTAGAAGCTTTGGGAAAACCAAAAACATCATTATAACAAAAATTAGAAATTAAAAATTACTGGTTTAAAAGCATCTAACAAACGCAGTTTGTTTTATAGCACGCAGGTTTTTCAGGAGTTTTCCTTACTGACACACAGCGTATTTTTATAGCAAAGAAAAATGATGGAGACTATCGATGAAATAGATGTTGCATATTTTGAATCATGGTTTATCGAGACAATAATACCAAATTTCCCAAATAATGTTCGTAGGAATGTCAATTTAATTGAAAATGCATCGTATCCATTCAGTTCCTCTCATTTTTATGTTCCTTTCATAATCTGTATCAAGTAAACCCTGTTAAAAATGAAAACAACTCCTTATTAGATCTAGTCATGGTCCAAGGTGAAGAGGTTGAGGTATCTAGAGCTGAGGGTGCCCTACTCCCAGAGGATAGGCATCATCCTCCACTCTCCTCCTCCTCAGTCCTAATCCCTTTTGGGATGTGGTGACACCATCAGGTCTTTACAGTTTTTTTTACGATTTCACTCCATCCTTCCCTGTTCTGGGCTAGTTGTTCGGTTTCATGTATTCCTTGGTTAATCAATATTTTTGTTTGATCTACCCAACGATTTGGAGATCCTGCTCTAGGTCTCTTTCAACTCTACCCTCGACTATCAGTTTTTCCATCGTACCTGTTCTTCTAGCAAAGATTTGATTCTCCTTCGCTCTTCGAGAAGTTGCAGCGTGTTGTCTGTCATCCAGTGTTTTCTTTTGGTTCTAGTTCTTTCTACATAGGTTTCTATGGCATTTCTGAAACCTTTCCGCGCTCATTTCAATGAGCCAGGATTGATTGGAGATGACTTTTATAGACATTTTTGCTCAATGAGTGTACGGGAAGTACCAAACTTTCTTTCACAGTTTAACTGGGATGATTTATTTAAAGATAAAAGTCTTCATGATATGATCAACATGTTTTATTATGTTATTTACCTTGCAATTGATATTTTTGCTTCCCTGAAAAAGTATTCAGAAAAAAAGTTTCTTGTCTGGTTTTCTCCAGAGCTTAAAAAAAAACAATAGTCAAAAAAAGGAAATGCATAAAAAATATCTAAAATCTCAATTACTTGCTAAGTGTAATGAGTTTTCTTTATTACTAGCAAACTGTAAACAACTGAAACAACAATGATATCTAGATTATGTTACTCTAACTGAATCCTCTCTGAAAGATAATGTTAAAAATTTCTGGAAATTTGTTAACAGTAAAAAGAACAAGAATAATATTCCTTTTGTTATGCACTATAATTTATTTGCTGAATACTTTTCCAAAACTTATAGTGATAAAGATTTTGATTTGCAGGATG